GATGATAGAGCTCACAATCATTGTTTAATTTTTGATATATGTGAAGAAGGTTTACGACCACCAATATTACCAGGAATTCCTGATGATTATGCACAAATGATGCAAAGGTGTTGGGATGTGGATCCAACTAATAGACCAACAATTGGTGGGCTTCAGAAATTTGCTCTGAATAAATTTAATAGTATTAATATTGGTGGTGGTAGTAGTAGTAATAATAATAAAAGTAGAATATTAAATTTAAGTAATGATAGTGATTATAGCTTTTTAAGTGATCTTGATTTTAAAGAAAGCAAAGCTGAATCTAAAGATAATTGGTTAGAATGGCTAAATGAGGCAATTCAGAATGAACACATTAATTTTCATGGATATAGTAGGTTTGAAAATATTCAAAAAATTGGTGATGGTGGTTCTGCAAAAGTTTACAAAGCAATATATAACAATAACACTACTTTTGCCTTGAAATCCTATAAACATGATATAATGAAAGAAGTTATTAATGAGGTAAATTACTATATATTTTTGGTTGTGGATTAAAAAAAATTTTCAACTAACAATAATAATTGGTTCAATCAGTTAAAATTATTACGTAAAGTTGACTACCATCGAAATATTATTCATTTTTATGGTGTCACTAAGAATGAAAGTATGTTTAAATTTTTTTCTATATATTTCAAATTTTTCCCATTAACTGATATTTATATTTATATATAAAGGCAAAAAGAAATATTTATTGGTTCTTGAGTATGCAGACAGTGGAACACTAAGAAGTTACTTACATGAAAATTTTGAGTCAATCAGTTGGGATCTAAAACTGAAATTTGCATATGAGATTGTGTCAGCTGTTTTATGTCTACATGAAAACAATATTATCCATCGAGATTTGGTAATTAAATAATTATACATTACATAAATTTATTATTTTAAAAAAAATTATATTTAATAATGTTTATCTTTTTTGAAAAGCATTCAAAAAATTTCTTGGTTCACCAAAAAACAATAAAATTGGCAGATTTTGGACTTTCCCGTAAAATACTTGAATCTACAACCACTTCAACATCATCATTAACAGGAATGATACCTTATATTGACCCACAATGTTTCAGTAAAAAAACATATAAAAGAAACAAAAAATCAGATGTATACAGTGTGGGTGTTTTATTATGGGAATTGACCAGTAACCAATCACCTTTTGAAGATTATCAAGGATTTGCCTTGGTACTTGAGATTTCTCAAGGAGTTCGTGAGGAACCTATTCCTAATACACCTGATGAATACATTGATTTATACAAAGGTAAAAAATCTATATATATATATTTATATTTAAAAACTTTATATTAAATTTTTGTTAATCATTTACTTGTATATAGAATGTTGGCAGGATGACCCAGAAAGCAGACCTGATATTCAATATGTTGAAAAAATGCTTAATGGAATGGCTTCAAGCTCAAATATAGTTGATAAAGTTGATAAAAAGGAAAATGACAAGCAACAAAAATATAAAGATAATAAATATATTAGTTCTTTTAGTCATACCAATACTATTTTAACAGAACCTACCACTACTGATTCACTGCAAGCAAAATTTGATGGTCTTGGATTTTTAGAGTAGTCAAAACCCTGAAATTATACGATAGATCCTGGGATAACTTCCTATAATTTAATTAAAATATTAATTTATAGATTATTATATTTGTATATTATTTAATATTATTTATATTCATATTATTATTCATTTATTAATATGGGTGTTACAGTCTAATTAAATCAAAATTAAGTAATGTCATATAGTGTTGATCAATCAATAAGTTATTTTTTAATAGCCTGTGGAAAAGAGATATATTATTTCCAACTTTGAGTATGAATAGTACAACATATCTAGTTTATCGGTACAGAGAGATTTTTGAAGGTAACAAACACCATGGATGAAAAAGTCACGATCAAAATTGCAAATAATGTAACGGGTATAATAAAAACACATAATCCCACTATCCATGAAAAACAGTCATGTCGTTTTCATTTTCGAGTATGTTGTAGTATAATATCTAGTTTGACTGTATAGAGAGATTTTTTCAGGTAATAAATACCAGTTGTGAAAAAATCGTGACTAAAAAACACTAAAATCATCATATTGCAATGAGAATAATAAAAATCCATATTTTCATAATCCTACTAGTTCGTGAAAAAAAGTCATGCCGTTTTCGTTTCCGAATATGTTGTAGTATAATATGTCTAGTTTGACTGTATGGAGAGATTTTTGCAGGTAATAAACACCAATTGTGTAAGAAATCGTAACCAAAATCACTAAAATCAACAAGAATAATAAGAATCCATATTTTCATAATCCTACTAGTCCGTGAAAAAAAGTTATATTGTTTTCATTTTCGAGTATGTTGTAGTATAATATATCTAATTTGAATGTATAGAGAGATTTTTGCGGGTAATAAGTGCTAGTTGTGAAAAAATTGTAAAATAAATTTTTTTTTAAAAAAAAAAAATTTCGCCATGAAATTCTCAGGTAAAATCCGCTCATATTGATTTACATAATAACATTAATTGCCGTAACTGAAATTGTATCTTCTAAACGTCCTATTTCTCAACTTTAGTAAACTGAATTTTTGGGGAAGGAAGAGATCAAAATCAAAAGATAAAACTTTGTGATGAAATGATATTTGAAATTTGTTAATTAATAAAATTGAAATTTGAACAGGAATATTTTCGTTTTCCAAAAATAATAAATGGTTGTGGTTATTTTTACGTCACCGTATTGTGCAAATCCCAATTGCTATCTGTTTGTCATGATTTGTGAAACTGAAAAACTTATCTGTTTTGGTTCAAAACGTCAAGGTTGAGCGAAACAGATACTTGACTGAAAGGAAATCGTGTTTCGCTTTAGATGTTTTTTGTGTGGTGTCAACCGCTGTCTATCATTAGATCTTCGTCTTTCTCTGACGTTTCAGACCGTTCAAAATAACCAAAAACTGATGGTCTTGTCTTGGAACCTTTACCTCGGATCGTCAATGGCTTGTCACACAACGTGTTAGTGATATTTTCTGGTCACGAGACCGGTATTAAAAACACTTTTACATTTTATTTAATGTCATTATCGGTCAATTCAATGATCGATAAACAAACAATGTGTACAAATTTTTTTTGATTGTGGATGATCTGGATAGAAAAGTTTATATTATTATTTTATCTGGTTAAAAAAATTTTATTTTAGTTGAAATAATCTTTGCAAAAGATTTTTCTTTATTAAGAAAAAAAAAGCTTTGTTGATTTTTTTTAACAATTGAAATTTGTAAATAACTTTTGATGTTTGCATGAAGCTTATTCTTCTATAGCGATAAACTTGAAAAAAAAAAACCAATTAACCCATTGATCTTTAATCTGTGATAAATAAATAAACACGAGGAAAAGATTAGGACAAAAAGATCTTTTTTTGATTAAAAAAAAAAAAAAGCTTTGTTGATTTTTCTAACAATCTAAATTCGTAAATAACTTTTGATTCACATAGGGTTCTTCTTTGAACAAACAAACAAACAAATTTTTTGCTCAACGTAACGAATAAAACAAAATATTGATATAATAATATTATGACTGTCTAATGTTGATACTCTGAACGAATATAATAGATAGATACCTTGCATCTGAATGTAACGTGTAAAGTCAAATCATACATAGAACGCAATTTTGGCACTACGTGCCTCGTCTCGTCTCTTATACAACATAAAGAGCAAAACGAATGCACAGATTTTTTGGCCCACGAGTGGGATTGTGGGTCTATTTATATGTTTTTGTTGTAATTTATTAGACTACTCGATCAATGCACCATCGGTTCATGAAATAGTCTATTTTTATTAAAGATTGCATCATTGGTCATGGATACATGATAGGGTGTTAATATGTTTCGCATCCAGTGCTAATTTTGATACTCCGAACGAATATATATGTATATGATTGAGCCATGCAATTTTATTATAATATATCATTGCACAATACTAATCTGTACTTCACGAAACTCACTGTTACGTTTTCGTTTAAAAACTTGTTTAAAAACTTAAAAATCAAACATTTTCCGTACGACACAATTTTTGCTAAATAAGGTGAAAACGTTGATCGCGCCAAAAATGAGCACAATTAAACATATAAAGAGACTTTGCGAAATTTAGAAAGAGATCGTAACTCGATTTTTTATTTGTGTTGAATATTGACGTATTGGTATTAGCAATATGTGGTGTCAAATTAACTATGGAATATTAAAGATTAAAAAAAAATTGAATAAAATGATAGTTTGAATATAACAATAGTCAATTAATTAAAAAAAAAATGACTTCTAAAAGCATCCTTTTAATATTTCTAATATTGCTCAAATGCTTATTTTTGGTGGTAAATTCAATTCCAACTGACCCAAGATTTATACATGCCACTGTTATTGTTAACAATAATTTATATGTTATGGGTGGTGGCTCTAATGGTCAATTATCAAGAGATTTTTTTTCTCTTGATTTGTCACAACCATTTGATGCAACAACTCCACCATGGAAGGATTTAACTGCAACTTCACCATT